TATTTTGTCAACTATCTCGATGGAATGTACAAGAAAGTTTTCCACAAATACTATCCTAAGACAAAGCAAAAATAAACGCACAACGTAAGGTAAAACTAAATCCTTTACATCGTTCAATTCTGAAGACTTCTTCTATTAGAGTTATCTGAATTTTTTTGCTCATATTTTCTAAGCCCCATCAACGGTCAATGAGAATCCTTATTCATAATTCGTATACAGTAAATATGTGAATTTCTTCGTAATCTGAATAGTAGTTTTGATTAAATTCAGATATCATTCATGTATCTTATCTTTGTGTGCATTCACATCGCTCGCAGAAGTGATGTTTACTTATTGAGCAATCTTCATCGAATGAATGAATGAATATGCTGGACGAATTTATTTTCTTTTTTGTCCTTCTCTAACTTTATTCTTTTTTCCTTCCTCTTCTCTGACTTTTTTCTTTTACTTCTTGACTTAAATCTTTCTTTTCTATCTCTCCAATTTGATTAAGACTAACAATCAATTACTAAGCATATGAGATCCGTTCTGTTTATGCCACATATATTTGTCGAATATATATTAACTGAAAATATTACTCTCTTTTGACTTGACTAGAGTTTCCAATTTAATTATATAGCTCATAATTAATAATGTTGTATTGCTTGTCATAAAACGAGTTTCAATTAGCTCATATACTGATGAGTTTATAATTTGGGATGAAAACTCTAATGCAGCAATTTTATGTTTGAGAATATTAGGAACTTATAATTTATCGTACGTTTCGAGCTTTGAATATAATCAAAAAATTAGGATTTCAATGTGAAAATTGAGACTTTAAATCAATAAAATCAACCTGTATTTTTTCGATATTCTAATGTTCGCACCAATACATGATTTTGATTCATATGATGTCAGTGTTATGCGGATTCTTACTTTAATCAAAGGAACTCTTTTTCACATAATTAAATCTACAGCGAATACTTTTTTGAATTAATTCAGCAGATCAAAACATAAATGGGAGCTCCAAACGGACTAAATGTCTTTCATGCGTACTGTGAAACAATAAAAAACACAAATTCACGAGAATATAAATAATTATGGGAACCAGTCCCAAAAAAAGATTAATCTACTTTGAGCATTTACAGCTGTTTTCGTTGGAAAAGATGATCATAAACATTTCTCACTATCTTTTACGAAGAAGAAAATGACTTATATAACCGTTTCAGAGATTATTTAATGTGAATAACGCTGACTAGACGTAAAAACGGCAAGAAAAGTGGTGATCACGTTTTTTCTTGTCGTTTATCATCATTTCTTAACAGAACGGGTGATTATGACAGTTTAAACGACATTTTCAGCGTTTCACTTCTTCCTGAGCGATAGGTAAATATTGAAAAAGACATGTAAAGTAATAATCAATAATTTCCAAAGAAAAATAAATAAATAAAAATACAATGAAAAAGAAAGTAGAAAATATTCTTATTTAAAATATCGTTCTAGTGTTAAACTACAAATTATTTTTGGGTTAGCAAGAATATCACAATGTAAGAAATTCGATTGCCTAAAAAATTCTACTATACATCTTCTTTTACTCGACACAATATAGATAACTATTGAAATTAGCTTACTCTCATAATTTTAAACGATAATTAACAGTTAAAAATACGTTTTTCTGTAGTAACATCTATAAATTTCTAATCTATCACAAATATCATTTCGTTGATAACCTCGTCTTCACCAAAAAACAAAAACTAATGCTATTTTAAGTACCGAATCAAATCAACATACGTCATAACCTAGTTATTTTAATCCATCAATCACAAAAGTCAAAACTAACCACTAAAATTTAGCACATTTGATAAAGTGAATTGTCGCCTCTGCCTTTTCTCAATAATGTATCAATTAATAGTAAAATTTCTTACCAAGAGATATTATTATCAATTCTTAAAAAAAAAAGCTGTTTTCTTTATTTCTATCTTACAGTCTTTATTTTAATGTCATATTTAGTGTATAATATGTTGAATAGTTGTCGCTATTCATATTTATCACGTGACTTTATTCATTGAAACGCATTCATTATCTTATCTAGTAGTAGATCAAGGTTGTTTTTTTTTTCGATTGGTATTTTCAGTCTGATGTCACTTTTTGTACCAACTATGTTTCTTAATTCGATTCTTCTATACAATACACATGCTCCTTCACATAGATACACTTCATTTAATCATACATAGCAAACAATGAAACTGAGAATATATATATATATCGTGTAGAAGTACCCTTAATTTATCAATAAACACAAGATCGATAACATACATCTCGAAATGATATTTCTTTTTTTTTTTTTGTTTGATTTTCTATTTACTATGTTCATAATCTACAAATTTTTATTCATGATTAGAAATCGATATGCTGTAACAACAAAATAGATATAGAAAAAACAAACAGACTATTGATTTTTAATCTATTTTGTAATGTCATATAATATTATTTATAACTAAACCTACATTTTACTGATTGAATATTGTTCATAAATTTGTATATCAGTTAAATCATACTTAATACAAATGAAATATCATGAGTCACTCCTCCTTCCTTGTGTAGAGTCATATCCTTTTTTCTTTTTTCTCCAATAATGATAACTTTTTTTTCTGCAACAATGCGCCATCTATTATCTATTATAGAGCTCATGTATTTTATCCAAAAACAAACAAATCCATCAGAATTTATTCATAAAAGAATTAAGCATTATGAATACTTCTTTGAAGTTTAATGAAGAATGTTTAATACATGTTTCAGAGAAAATTATAAAAATCCGAAACAACAGCAACAACAACAACAAAAAAGTTATGTATTTTGTAAACGTTCTTCGATGATTGCAGCTAATGGATTTTCAACAGGTTGTTCCATATCAAGATCAGTATTACGTCGACTTCGTATTTGATAAACAACACTAAAACCAAGTAATATTAATACTAATACAGCAACTGTTAAACCACCTACAACAGCACCAAATGCATAATTTCCAACTTTACTATCTGTACTTAATTCATCAGGATTTTGTCCACCAAGATTACAATTTGATAATGATAATTGTGTATCAATATTACAAGGTGTTCGTGTTGAATTAAATAAACATGTTGGTTGTAATACAGAAGCATTAGTTATATCTTGTCGAAATTGATTCATATAAAATAAATCAATAACACAATTACAGACATGTGATTTATCTAATTCAAGATGAAGTAGATTAGGTGCATTTTTAAATATTTTATAATATGAACAAAAATTTTTATCACTTAATGTATGACCATATAAACGAATAGTTACAAAATGATTTGCTATTTGACTTATAGATGTAAGTAAATCAATAATCATATTTTCTGAAAAATTTGTATATGAAATATCAATTGAATTTAAATTTGATATATTTGGAAAATAATTTTTAATTATATTATCATTATTATTACTAATAAAACCTTCAGAAAAATCAATTTTTTCTATTAATGGAAGTGTTTTTAATATATTTGTTTTAAGAAATAAATCAAGTTGTTGTTTACGTAATAATAAATATTTTGTATAACTATATGCAAACCAATTATAATTTATATCGAGAATTTTTATTGAATTATAACTTAAATCAAGTTTATTTAATTTCATTAAAACACCATCAGTAATTATTGTTGGAAATATTTCTAAATTTGAATTATTTGAAATAATTAATTCTTCAAGTATAAGTGACCATGCTTGAAATGTATGTGAATTAATTATAGATAAACTTGTATTTGATATTTCAAATGCTTTTGATTTTGTTAAAAATAATGGTAAACTTTTATCTGTTAATTGTATTAAACTAGATGAATGTCTAATAAATAAATGATAAACCTGTGCAATGTTTCCTATTATATTTGAAAAACCTGTTATATTACAATATTCAAATGTAAGTACATTAATTATTGAATTATTACTAAAACAATCTGTATCAAATATAGAATATCCATTAAAATTATTTATATAATTAAAATGTAAATGATCAATTTTAATATTATTAAATGCATTTGTTTTTAATGTTATACTTGTTGAACTATTGAAATCTCCAATTTCAATTGATAATTTTGAATTATGAGGAATAATTATTGAATTTGAAAATGCATCTGAATCAATTATTGATATATTTATTAATTTAATTAGAAATATTTGATTTTCAGAAAATGTTATATTTTGAAATGTATATAATGATATTCGTTCAAAATTACGAATTAAATATGTTTTAACAGGTGGAAAACATGATATAATTGGATATTGACTACTTTCATTTCCACTACCATATGTTGTATCACATATAATTGTCATTGAATCATTACTTAAACGACATAATGGATTTGTTGGACAATGTGTTAATATTGTATTTGTTTGTAAGAATAATACAAAAACGAAAAGAAATAAAAACAACATTGTTATCGTTATGTCAGATGAATACAAAGACTATGAAATAAAATTTTAGTTGTTCTAGTTCTTATCATCATTTTATTGATATCATATGGTAAACTTTGACTCAAAGTTTAAGATAAAATTTGTAATATGCTATTCTAACTATTATTTATAAAAGATTTTTTGAATTTGTATTTTTACAAAAAAAATTATTTCATCAATTTTCTAAAATTAATTTTTTTATTAAATACAATAGACTATAAAAATAACTTTGTTCATTCATGGTACGTAATTTGTTATCTGTTAAATAATCATTTGATACGTGTTCTTTGGTTTTTTTTTAAACATATAATTAATGTCTGCTTGAATATTATGTACATATTTAATCGAAAATAGTAATGTAGGCGAAAGTCATCAATAGTATTTGAGATTTTAATTAATGAATTTGATCTCTTCTATTTATCTTATTAAACAAAACTATTAATGCAATCCTTGTGTGATTAAATTGAGCAACACGATACATTTCGTCAGAAGTTCAATAAGTACGTAGTTCATATATTATAATGAGATGTTATTGACATATGGTCAGTGATGAATATTGTTCTATATGGTATTAATAAAACGTGTAGGTAGACGTTCTTTTTTTTTTGTCTTTGTATTACTCTTTAAAATGCTTATGCCATGACTTCATTAATTGAAAGACTATCTAGATAAGTCTCTTTCATATTAAAATTAGAAGCTCGTTTTTCTTTCTTCTTTTTTTTTTCTCATGTATATATATATATAGTGAAAGATCAGTTCAATTTCATTTAATAACACCAACACATATATCTATAGTCATTTAAAAATGAACAAGGTAATATAAATAGAAAAATTTATGTTGAATATTTTTTATTTTTGGAAATTTTTCTAGATCAATATTTCTTTCTCTACTTCATATTTACGTCTTATTGCTTTATTTCTATTTATTATTTATGTATCAGCAAAAGATACCGATATGATTATCAATGATCAATATGATAATAATGATGCAGAAGTAAACATTCATTTACCACCTGACATTGCCTTCTTATTTAAGAATATCAATAGTCATTCAGATCATCCATCAATGGTAACTGATTATGACATAAAAGATGGTCGACCTCTTATGATATCATTTAAGAAACGTACAATTCCAATTGAACTTCAAAAAGCACTTTATGCCCATGGAATTGTAGGTCGCCGTCGTTAAAGTCCAATTGACTAATATTTTATTTGCTTTGCATAAATAAATAACAGTGAAATAAAATTAATACATAATATGATTTATATTGAATATCAATCATTGTCAAAGATTGAATTGCTATTTTTTCTATTCAGATTAATATTGGTTTTTGCAAATTGAAAGTAGAAAGTCAAGAGTGAACTATGTTTTTTTTTTAGTAACAAACATTGCTAATAATGAGAAAATTTTATTAATTATTTAAACATATATAATAATGTTAAATATAAGATTTCATTTCTAATCTTGGATTAGTTTAGAGTCAAATGTCGGATTTAAAGTTAAATGAAGAATAACAGTCACAATCTTGTTTAATTATAACCTGTAAAATAAATTAAAAAAAATGTCGAATAATTTTTCTTCAGAATATAGATCATAAAATAAATTGTCAATATACATATTTGATTTGCAGTTTTTGATTATTCTGAAGGTTACTGCCATCTGTCAAACATGTTTAATAATAAAGAAATCTATCCATGACAACGAAGAGATTATAATACTAGTTATGATAGTTGATTATCATTGATAAATAAAATCATTTATTCTAATGCCTGATAAGTAAGTTATATCGTGAAATTTAATTTCTATTAACAAGTAATGTTTAAATTTAAATAGATCAAAAATACGTCCATTTAGTGCAAGTCGTCAACGACGACAAATTAAACGTAGTTCTAGTTTAAATTCAATTCGAATACCATTTAATCCTAACTCAACAATATCTGGCACTAATGTTATTTTAGCTGCTATTGATTTACGTACACCAAAACAAAAAATTGAAGATTTAATAAAAGAAATCATTGAAACAAAAGATGAATCAACTGTAATTGAATTAATTTTTATTTCTTTATTAATTTCTATTTTCTTTAGCCTGAACAATATCTTAATCAACTTGTTCTTATGCAAGTTTATACAAGTCTTGAATATGGAGATAATTCTATTGAAAATGCTCGAGCTTATATAAATCTAAGTAAATTTTATTTAAATCGTAAATCAAATTTTTTACCTCAAGCTAAATTTCATATACTTAATGCTCGACAAATACTCGAATACTTAAATATAAAACCTAATGATGATAATCTAATACAAAATTTACTTGCTTATGATATTTATCTTATTTTAATAAAATGTTCAATAAATGCTAAACAATATTTAGTACAACGAGAAACAAAAATAAAAAATAAACATATTTTATCAATTGATAAAGTACATATTGATCATGATTTAAATTTAATTAAAAAATATTTAGAAAAATTAAAACATCTTATGAAATTAATCGATTATGAACATAAACATATGGAATATTTATTTGTTAAATTGGATAAAATTTTAATTGATACGAAAGAATTTGATGAATCGATTTATGAATTAATTGATCAACTTATAATTTATATTGAAAAATTTTTTTCAAATGATCAAATAAAACGTAAAATTGATCTATATTTATATTCAGGATCTTATTTAATTAATTATAATGAACATATTCAAAATGGATTAAAATATTATAGACAAGCAGTTGAATTAGCAAATGAACAAGAAAAAACAAAATCATCAATCAAACATAAGCATCAACTTGCAAATACAATTCTTCAACGATGTATTGCAAAAGTGAGAACAGATCGTTTAACAGGTAAAAATAAAGCAAAACAAAAAAACAGCAATGTTTATTTTTGTTATTACGTTTATGTTTCTTTTTTGTGTCAGATGATTTAGAAAACGAATTTCAACAAGCAATTCAATTATATAAAGAATCCGATGGTGAAGTGAATAAAAATGTTTTGAAAGTAATCGATGAATTAGCAACTTTTTATACTAAAGCAGAAAAATATCAGGTTTGTTAAAATGCAGAAAAGAAAAAGTCTTTGTTATTATTTGCGTAAAACTTTTTTCTAGAAAAATATGGATTAAGCTATTCTTCTGAATAGATTTGAATCTACGTTCGTGTCCAAACGTGTTTTTTTAAATTGAAGTTTATGATCGAATGAAAATTTTCTATTAGATTTTTTTCTGACATGAATGAGCTTAGACTGATTCTGAGTCTCAATCAAATGAGTTTTTCTTTTTAGTTTCAAGCTTAAAAGGCTTCATGCCCATAGATCTCTAGAGCCGATTTTTGACCATTTTACTAAATTCTCGATCTGCAATTTCTTTCATACGTAGATCTGATGATCCTTAGAATATTCCTTTGTCGAGATATTGAATTTCTACGTAGATTCGATTTTTTTTACATGTTTGTGGCAAGTAACTATTTGTTAGAAATTCAATATCTCAACAAAGGGACATTCTTTTCGCTTGAAACATTCAAGATATTCTAAGAGTTATTAGATCTATTGATAGGCTGGAAAAATGCATGGAAAATTCAGCACAATTGTCGAAACTCAGCTTTAGAGATTCATGGGCACAAACCCTTTTTAGATTTTTTTAATTCTATCGAGACTTCTTTGTGGGCTCAATATGAGCTCAAACGGCGTGTATGGATTCGTGTAGTTTCCTCGCGAGACACTCTTAATCTCTTATAAATTCTAAACATTTCAATGAAAGAAATTAATGAAAGGCTCCTAGGACTTACTACTTTTCTGTAACATGATGAAGTTTTTTTTTCTGAGTTGTCTAAAAATAATTCAAATGAATTTGACTATTTAGGATGCTTTGAATGTACTTTGTGAAAGTTTACCTGATAAAATTCGAGTATTTGGTGATTTTTCTGAAGAAGTTATACAAACAGAATCACGTATTGGTGCAATTTACTGGCGAGAAGGCGAATGTCTCAATGCAGCCGAGCATTTAAAAGCAGTATGAAAATTTGAAGATCAAAAATTAACGGCAAAACATATTTATTTTTATAGTGTCTTGATTTACAAGAATTTGTTTATGGTTCAAATGATTCACGAACACGTCAAACACGTAATTCAGTTGAATTATTAAAAAAGTAAACTTTGATAATCTTGATTTGATATAGAAATTTAATTTATTATTTTTTTTTAAAGAGATCCAATGGTTTCTCGAACATTTTTTGCTCGAACACAAGATGGTATACGTGAAGGTCGACCAGTATTTCGAGTTAGAAATAAAGTTTCTCATGAAAAAGAAGATCTTCAACTATTACAAAAAATTGCAAAGAAGCCACCAATTAGTTCAAAATCTTAGCTATTTTTAAATAAAAATCATATAGTTGAACTCATATAAGAAGTTCAACTATATATAAAATATTCATAAGTTAATGAAACGAAATTGTATTATTTTATCAGAAGTTAATGATTTATGGAATAATTCATTTCTTCTAAATGTGATTTGAATATGAGATTTAATTTAGTATATTTAAGAAAAATTATCTATATAATTTTCCTAACTATAATATTTGTACTCTGCATTCTCTATTAATACATGTAATTTCAGTGAACATAGATGTTTATTTGTCTCTTGTTTTTTTTTTGAAATAAAATTTGCTCTTAACCTTTGATTTCTGGATTCACAATAGTCTGTATCATTAAAAGCTGATTAATTTCATAGTTCATTGAGTAGTAGCTTTCCTAATTTGCTAACTATATGGAAAGGAAAGCAACATTTCGACTTAGTATTGACCAGACTTATTCTCTGCTTTGATGCATTTGTGAAAAAGCTGATAAAAAAAAACACAGATCGCTCGCGTCTTCGCTCTTCACATCCAGCTTTTACGCAGGGCCAAATGTGTGAACTATCTTGCAGAGATTTGATACTTCGTTTTTCAAAGTTTCAAATTATGACTATGATTTATGTAGAAGAGTTTGCTGAGGTATATAGGTACAAGTAGTGATAGCTAACATCTATCCCCAGATTAGCTAGCTGATACTCCCTTTCTTGCCAAGATTTTTCATTATTTCTGTTATCTTCTGCCTAAAAATATGCATCTGAAGAAAAGAAAAAGAACTTTTAAATGCTCGGATGATTCAAATATCTTGTGAGAGCTGTCATGAGCATGTGGATATATTTAGCTATGGGTCACTGGCTCTGAATTGTATAGAAACAAAGATTGACCTACCCAAATCTGTAATGTGTATCAGTAGTGATAAAAAATATGAGTGAATTGTTTGAGAAGAAAAGCTGAATAGAGCTCGTTGTCAAGATATGAAAGAGATCTCTATACAAAATACTGTCGCAAAGTGCTTGTAAAAAATGTACTACATGAGTCGAAGTTTTCAAAGCATCAAAATTTGTGTGCAAACGAACTGTCAAAGCATAACTTGGAGAAAAAAAGTGAATCATTAACTGTTTTCTGTGACATTGAGTCACGTCATGCACTGATGAGTCATTGTATTGTATCCTTCCTGACTTGCCGCTTTTAAAGCAAACGTGGCGATTTTTACCAGATGATGGTGAAATCACAAATGACTTTTTCACCCACTTTTTGCTCCTGTTCTGTTTGTTTACGACACTTTGCATACTGTTATATAAAACGTGGAGTGTTTCATACGTCTTCTTCATACGAACATTAACACAAGTTTCGTGGATGGCTAGCAATATAACGCCGTCGAACGATGCTCAAGATGTGCAACAACAGGACAAACAAAATGCCGTGAATCAAGTACAGACTGGTATTGAACAGCAGACGGCAGAGGCAATTGCAGCTAACAACAAATCTCCGTCGGCTATTAAAAAACAAATTCAGAGCATACGTTCCCTCTTTTCGCGACCGAAACGAGAAGATAAATCACGTAAATCGTCCCATGATCCTTCAGATGATATTTTACGGTCTAGATGTATGATGTTTTTTCCTACATCGGGTCGTATGGGATTTGACAAAGTCAAAGTATCGGATGAATTGCCCCCAATCGAGATCCTACGCGAAATGATTACTTATGAAACAAGTATCCGATTATCGGAACCAATTCAAGAGCTCATGGATATTTATCACAAGGATGAGGCTGCACTGAGGTAAGCTTTATTTTTATACTGGTTTCCGTACTCTAAACAGCTCTTTGTTATAAAATTGAAGATATATACTCGATCTCATTCAACAGCATGTTGTGGAACATTTTGGATATCATCATGTCAATGCTTTACGTACAGCTTTGCATCGATTTCCAGATGATCCGGCAGTGAAATCAGCTTATTATGGTAAGTCATAACAAGAATTTGAAATTAAAGTGCTTTGCAAGAATTCGTTTTCCAAGCTAAAGTCATGACTTTTTTCTGCAGTTCACAACATTTTACTTCTTCATTTCTAGTGAAGCACAATAAGGTCACACAAGGTCTGATCAATCAAGGCCAGTGCGCACGTGACGTCGAATTGTATACTACAGATGGTCAACACACAAATCTATTCTCACAAATCACAGCTGACCAACCATTGGTCATTTTGGCTGGCTCAACTAGCTGACCTCCATTTCGGGCGTCTGCTGAGCGAATTAAGTAGATATTTCTGATATAATTTAACAGTATACTTTTCATTTATCTGATTTAGCGCGCTATTTCGCTCGCATGCGTCCGATGGCTTGTGTTTCTTGGTAGTTTATATTGCCGAGGCACACGCACGTGATCAATGGCCTATGGGCAAAATTATATCATGTGTGGATCAGCCCACTACACTCGAGCAACGCCTTGAGAATGCTCGAGAATGTCAGAAGGATTGCAAATTTGAAGTACCCATGCTCGTAGATGGTATGAATAACACTTTTCATCTTACATATGGATCATGGCCATTCCGCTTCTACGTTATTCACAATGGAGAACTCGTCTTGAAAGCGGAACCAGACAAGGATACTTTCAGCTATCATATCGATGAGCTCGATCAATGGATTGACAATTTCTGTCAATCACGTCGTCTCATTGCCTAGGTTTTTGTTCATTCGAATTTCATTCATCGTTTGCTTTCTTATTTCTGTTACCTTCTTTGTTTCTGTTCATTTATCAACTCGATAGTCCTCAAAAAATGGAATTCAACATGAACTTATGATGACTGTGCGATGAAACCACATTAGTGAATGTCCATAGTTTGATTTCAATATGTTGTTTTCTACGAGGAAATTTGCGCGTAAATCTGTCGAATTGATGAATCGAGCTGATACAAAGAAGAACAGGACAAGAATCACTCGTATGTTTGTGTATCGAATTGAATTCTTCTTCAATAAAAGCATATTTTTTTAAAAGTCAAATGAAAGAACAAGAAAAAAGTTTATTTGATGATGCGGTCAGGAGTCCCTCATACCTAATATTGCTGTTGTACAATGCTGTTATGACATCATTTTCTGTCTTGTGAGTAAAATTCGAGTAAAAATCATTTTAAGATTGGATCCAAATAGATATCTAGTTCAATGAATTTCGTACAGTTACTATCTGCTTATGTAACGCTGATTCTACCAATCATCCGATCTAAAAAATTTATTTAGAGAACTACTTATTGTTTTATAAAAACACTTTGGTTGATGCTGGTTCAAGTAAAGTATTTATCAACATGTGTATGATCAACAGTATCATTCTTTATTAGCCAAAACTAAAAAAAAATTACTTGAATAAAGGAAACGGAATATTACTATAAATTAGCGTCATTAAATTATTGAGACATGAAATAACAGTTGAACGAATCGATTATTTATCTAGTTTTAATTTTATATTGACTAAGATACTTCACTATGATGATGAATTGAAATTGCTTTCTATATTTTCAATAGTACATTACTCACATTTGTCATTCAAAGAACTTTCATTGAAAAAAATTGAATCCTGCAATTCTTTATTCAATATTATCGTTTATTCAGATAGCTCCATACAAAAAAAATAATAAAAATCTTTTTAATATGGCTTACGAAGACTTTCATATGGCGAATCCATGAAATTTGTGATGTTTTACTAAGTATAGGTATCAGAACAACTATTCATGAAATAAATAAATATTACAAATTTCATCAGTTAGACATACAAAAAGCTTTATAATTCTTATTGTTTACTTTATTTGAAATTATAGTTGAATGCCTTGAAAATACACGTATTTTATGAACTATGAAAATTGAATTCTTCATTATCATCTATTACTAAGAATTATTCATTTTGTCTTTTATTCCATATTTTAGAATCGTAATTAAAAAAAGCTTATTCATTCTGTAATGCTTGCGATGATTGATCGGGTTCCGTCTGACGTATGTTTTTTTATTTATCACAAACTAAATAGAAAAAGAAACACTTGAATCATCGTATGCTGACTATAGCATTTACTTCTTTAGATAAGAACGAATGACGGTAATGAATGACGAATGAGTCGATCGAGAGTGTTCTCTTTCTTTACTTTTGATTATATATATATATAACACATGAAAACGAAGCATCATACTTTATACTTTCTATTCTGAGAACAAAATAGACATCTATACAATGCCAACTGGTACACTTGAAGTAATTATTGTTGAAGGACGTCATCTCAAAGATCGGGATCTTGTTGGTCAAAATGATGCATATGTAGAAATTTATTTAGATAAAAAATATAAGCAACGTACAACAACATTTTCGAATTCAAATCATCCAACGTGGAATGAACGTTTTACATTTAATCTTCAAAAAGGTGATGATACAATTCATTTTGATGTTTATGATGCTGATGTTGTTGGTCGAGATTCAATTGGAAGTGGTAAAGTTAAATTGAAACATGTTTTTGATGATGGAAAATTTGATGAATGGGTAAAATTACCAGCTAAATTAGGTTTATCATCTCATGGAGAAATTCATGTTATTATGCATTTTATAGTAAGTTTTCTTTAAAAAAAAAATTATTTATTATTAAATTATATCCATTTTATTTTAGCCGACTTAATATTCACAATCTAATCAATAGTGAAAAGTTTGTTTGCGTTTATATATTATCTTTTCTTTTCTTTTCTTCGTGTGGGTGTGAATGTAATCAATGAATAAAATAAAATAAAATAATAATTATTAATATTCGTCAGTATCATTTAATACACCCAGCTTAGTGTTTAAATATTCAAGAGAATTGTTCTAAAAGAAAGTCGAATATTTTTTTTTTGTCGTACTCAAAGCAAGACTCCATGTATTGAAATGACATGCCACAGTGTCTGTTGTGTATTCATTTTTCTTGTCTATTGAGACAAAGTCTAGCTCAATCATAAGCCCACGTGAAACTTCAAACAAAGGCAAATTAGTTAAAAAGAATGATTTATCATCAAGAATAAATGTAGCCTTTTCAGTTCGCTATAAGGCTTGTATAAATGGTATTTGACTGAATGTAGAATTAATCAAGTTAAAAATACCCTGTTGAATAGAAATAGCTTGATTATACCAAAAAGCATATATTTATAGACATCTTTGTAAATTTCTCTGATGGCATTCGATAATGAAATAGGAGGTTTTTATGAATGAAATTTTGATAGTCTTCCAATTTGAATTCATATTTAGGATACTCATGAAATTAAGCATCTAATTATGCTTTTTATTCATGAGAATCCAAAAGAAAGAAATATTTTCCATTCTATATCCTTATGATCAACATAGAAAAAGAGCAAATGACAAAAAAAGAATTTCATATACCATTACAACTAAATATCTGATTTCTAGAAACTAAGTTGAGAGAATAATAGAAGAAAGAGTTTATCAGTATTTGAAAAGAAAGTGAATATTATCTAATACACAAATATTATTGCTAAAACCCTGTTAGAGTTCGATTTTGTGTAAATAATGATGTGTTTGCAATTCGGTTTTGGAAATGTTCATTTCCATGTTAATCGCCACGTTAATGATAATGTATGTGAGAACGAAATAGAATTCTATATAGTAACCAGAGGATTGGTTCCGAAGATTTTGGTGAGTCATTTTCGCTTTGATTCATTATCTATCAACCAAGAAAGTTAATGTTATAATAATATTATTCTTCAAATGAAAAAGCACAATGTGTTTCTATTGTAAGTTTTTCTTTCACTGATTTTATTTAGAATGATAATGATTTTTTAAAAGTTTTTTTTTTTTATGCAAAATATCTCTTCTTTTCTTCATTATAACTATGAATAGAATCATATTATGTATTCATTGAAATGTAAACTATAACTTTTTACCGCTCTCATAAGTAAAACATAATGTAGGTCTTTTACTTCTGCATGACAGGCATCAGAGTTCACTTGCTAATTTTTTCGATTAAACATATTTTTCTCTACTAAAAGAATCGATGGGTCGGGGATCTTTTAGATAAAACTTGTAGATGTTCAGGCTAACTGACACTAAAATATCAAAGTATCTAAAACAATATACAAAAAAAAACACTTAGTGAGAAAAGCAAAGGCAACTGTTAAAATTGTGTTCATATTTGGTAGTCTTTATCATCAAAAGCTATACTGATGGCAAAACCAATAATATATTCGGAATCACTTCAAAAACTTGAATCACATACATTTTAGCAAAATTTTTTTTTACACAATATGTGTGATTTCACGTAGTTTTTTACACTGACGTCAAATATTGTATTCGTTTTGCCATCAGAATAGGATATAATGATAAAAAACTACAAAATATGAACACACTTGAGAGTGAGGGTGTGGGTTTGTATCTTGCTTTTATTTGCTCCACGTCCACATCTTAACATAGATTGATGGAACAATAGCTTGAAGTCGAATCTTTCACAAACAATCTTCTTTTTTTTTCAGAAAAAAAAACATCGAATATTTTTCATTTCTTTTCTGTTTATGTTTTTCTAATGATGTATACCAAGAATTTCCAGCATGTGACGCTGTGATGCTTGTTTTTTTTTAATTAGCCACATCTATGTATAAATGGATGACCATTTTTTTTAATAGTTTTTCAACGTATTGAACTTGCCATCCTTGGGCTCTTGATATAGAGTGGAAAATTTTATCAGTCTCTCCACTACACTCCTAATAAATTCTGAAAATTGTATGTAATTTGAGTGTACCTGAACTAAAATTGATTTTTGGGGACAAGCTTAAGTGAAAATTGTCTAGCAAACTATAGCTCAGCACCTGTTCTGTTGTTAAGAAATTGAAAAAGAAATATGATACCTGTTGTCCTTGTTTGCTATGTCAACCTACTCGAATTATTCTCGTACTGTTCCTCTCCCTCGTTGCGATGAGGCGATGAGAGAGTCTTAAAATTATCTGTTGTAAGAACACATTTGATTGCTTAGACACACTTGCGTTAGATAACCAAATGTATGAATTTTACTTGATTTATTGTGCATAATTACTAGTTAAATTTGTATGAAAAGCATTCTATCTAAAGAATAAAAATTTTCTCATGTTAATATTTGTATGTTTATCATTTGTTCATCTTCAACATGTGTCATAAATTGTTGTGGTGTTAACAATAGATCATAAATAAAACAAAGTATAGAATGATGATCAAGTTTATTAAATCATGTTATAGCTAACTGCTCCATTAAATCATTTGTTTGTATCTGTCGTACAACAAGTTTAGATATTTTATTCATATCATAATGACTATATTCAGTATCTGTTAAGCTAAATTAATATTTCTTAAATAAATATTTGTTAATGTTGATTTATTTGACTTATTTGATGGACATATTGTTGTCGAAGAACATTGTACAACAATTTTTACTATTAAATGACAAATATTTCTGCTTCATTTGTTATTCCATTTATGAATCAATTTTGAGGACACCGATTGGATAGGGTTGTATTAACGTTTGGAAATAATGATCTTTTAATGAAGGTAGAACTGTATAATCATTTTAAGAAGTACCTTTGGATATATGTGGTTTTGATATTGTTGATATATTTACTATGATATTAGAATTTTGATCATAGCTATTCAAGTCCGATTTTGTTGGATAAAGAAAACGTTCGCTTTTGCATTCAAATGTATATTGCACTATACTTATTTTCGACAGCCAGACTGCACTTCAATTCGAAAAAAATTGAACAGATCCATTGTCTTATTAATGATAATCTTCATATTACAATTGACAAATGTCAAACGCAAATTAATCTGAAATATGACATCAATAGATGGCGGCTAGCTATACAGTGTAATAGTTGATCTCGAGAGTGATCATAAAAATATGGTGTGAATTACAGGTCTGGTAGGTTGTTCTTTGTTTTCAGCCATCTTTTCGGTCTTCATGAAACTATTCATATCATCTTTCAACTGTTTTAATACTTGGAATTTAATCTTCGAAAACAAAATATCGTTTATCATAAACCACTCTCGCTTGAATACATAGTAGTTCAGCTTTGATCGAATTTCTCATATTATCACACGAACTGAAGAATGATGAAATATTTTAGAATTATATAGTAGATATAGATAATTTTATCTAAGAATCATTTAGTTTTCGTGACATGACAACCCGTAACCTCTAGTATATTATTAAACACTTTCAGAACAATCTATTCATCCGTTTAGTTTTTATTGGTAATATAATCACAGCATGTCGGTCAATAGAACAAATCGTTTCCTAAGTAATACCTATAGTTTTTAGCTAATTTTACTTTGCAATATATCATTAGCACGAACAATGCAGACTCCATCTTGAAAATTTGTTTTAATCATCTCCTATGTATACACCAACCATAGATAAACATTTTTATATTGTCTTATTTATGCATTGAGGAAGGTAAAAAATTTTTTTAACAATGTGAATCTGTAGGAATTCTTTTTCCGTAGGGAACTCTGATATTTGAAATCAAAACAAATAATATCATCTAAATTATATAACTTTGTTGCATTCTTGCTATTTATAGCATAACAAAGAGAGAGAGCTTAAGATATAAAACCTATTTTAATCTCAAATAATTAGTTATAAGAGTTTCGTACAAAAAGAATTGCCTACAATATTCATTACCTTTTTGATGTGTGAATGCGACAGTATAAGAACGTCTATGTGCGTATTTTCTACTTCTCTGTTTATTTATCGGTGATGAAGTTTCAATCAACAGAAGAAAGAGAAAAGATTTTGTCCAGAGCCAATTCTGTTCCTTTGAAAGTGTTCTTTTTTTCTCTTCTGTTTACAACCATTAACGGGAAACAAGCTCACCACTTTGAGTTATTTCAGATAGAAAGTGGAATCCAAAGCATCAAAGTTACCGTTTTGCAAAACTTACTGAAGATGGAAAAACCTTTGTATCATCTTGAAACATACGAAGTAATAAATAAAACGGTGCAGTATTTCAAAGACTTTCAGAAAATATGAGATGCCTCGGAGCTTTAACAAATAAACGAACGCAGAGAGACAGCGAAATACTAAGAGCAGCCTTAAAATCCGATTTTTTGACCCAGTGCTAAAAGTAATGTAACTTGTATGATTTTGCATTTTTCATATACAACTCAGAAAGAACTGATATTTTGGATATAAGAAGCGTCAAATGACTACATACAAAGCTGTGTTACAGATGAAAATAACTTTAGTTTTGGATCCATAATACACACAAACACATAAGATTAAAATACGTGTATTTATATAGATATAGACATAACGACAAAAAAAAGAAAGACAAAAGTATATCACAGGGACAATATATGATCATGTTTACTAGGATGAATCAGAACATCTCTTCATCTGGTTCAGCTTCATAACGACGACGAGAACCGTTTGTATAGCCACGACTTTTATCTTCAACATAATATCGTTTACTGTCATCATCAACGGCTCATAGGATTGTTCATTCCATTCTCGCTCGAGTTACCATCCATGTTTATAATCAGAACGATCATGTAAAAATTTACAGATATCACCAAAACCATAATAACCTGAAACAGAGAATGACAAAATCAAACTTTATATTAGATAAAATTTTGTTTATTAAAAACCTGGTTGTTTATAATCTTTACAAATATTAGGTTGATAATCCCAACGAACAGATACGCAAACATTAGCAGGTGCATGAATTGGATCTAAACAAAAAAATACAATTAAGTCAAGTTTCAACAAATAAAAATAAATTTATCGAACCTTGATTTCGAACAAGACCACTATTAGCATTTCGTTGTGTACTATCTGTTTTATCATAAGATTGCTGATTAATTTTTGTCGCATGTTCACTAATAGTTTGCCGACTAGATTTATATTTAACATCAAGAAAATTTTCTTTTGCAGCTAAATAATTTGTATCATTATTATTATCTTCATTATCATTTTGGTTATTTTGTTGACACTGATGGTTGATTTTCATCATCATCAGAGGAAGATGCGGCATTGTTATTGTTAATACTCATTATCTGAAAAAAAGAACGAAAAATTTAACTAAACAAAATCTAATGAATACTTTTTATACATGTGTTGACTTTTAGTTCTTTATGTCTCATTTGTTACTCATATCAAGTTCAAAATCATCTGCATGACAATTAGACTTATAAAAACATACGTTTTTCTCGGAATATTTATTAATATAATAGTATTGGAACTAGCAACAGCATATAATAGGCGAGAATGTGTTAACCAATCTGCTACAGGGCAAAAACAAAACAAAACACACAGATTAAATGTATTCTAAAAAATCATAGTAATAGCAGCGTGAAAGATTGTAAACATCTATGTGTGCAAACCCATCTGACGTGAGTTCTCGAAAGATCATCCGATAGGATAAACATGAGAAAAAACAATGGTGCATAAAAGAGATTATTCAATAGAATATGTATATGTTATGGCCGAAGTTGGAATTCAGCCCAATTCCGAATTCGTCCAGACGAAATTGGAATTCTAACTTCGTCTGGACTAAAGTGGAATTCCAAGTTCGACTAAACTGATTATGGACGAGATTAGAATTCTAATTTCGACTAGACGAAATTAGAATTATTTTTTAATGAATATTAAGCGGTAAAAGATGTATTAAAAACATTGATGAATTTGTTTGTGACCGTGAGAGCGAAAAGAGCTAATGCGTGTTGTTCTACCAAATGTCACTCAGAGAGAAGTACCCTTTGTAACATCGAGTAACTCTCCCTCCCCCCTCCCCCATCAAATAAGAAGGCGTGGTCCTCTCTTCTGAAAATTTATATCGTTTTTCCAACGGTGACCTTCTAATATGCACTTACGTTTTTATTAAAAGCTTGTTGTAAAATGAAGGATTTTAGGATAAACCTCTAGTCTCTAAAGGAACAAATTTCATATTCAAGTGCTGTAAAATTCGCTGAATCCGAGAGAAAGTAGTGTTTTTAATAATGAACACTTTGCTTTTTACTCAAAAACTATTCTTCTAAATGCTAAAACCTCAAAGCTATCCCGGATTTATGAAAACCTTTTTGAAAAATTCGTGATCTTCTTTTATGTCGAGCGAAACATTTAGGTAGGTGTGGCCTTTTATTTTAGGCTGGCGTTCTAATTTGGGAAGAGTTACATTAACTTCGACTTTGTGGTATTTGTTAATTTGTTTTCGTAAAATTTAAAAAATTGATTTCTAATTCTCTTTTTTTCCTATGGATTTCTAGTCATTAAACAATAATTCTAATTTCGTCTAGCCGAAATTAGAATTCTAATTTCGTCCATAGTCAGTTTAGTCGAACTTGGAATTCTACTTTAGTCCAGACGAAGTTAGAATTCCAATTTCGTCTGGACGAATTCGGAATCAGGCTGAATTCCAACTTCGGCCACAACATATATATTTAACAAATTTAACCATCAACCGAGGAGACATGTGAAAGAAAAAAAATGAATTGATTTTTTGTATACGTCATTTTTCATCACATTTATCTGAAAGAATTTTAAACTTTAACTTTTTGAATAAGTGCTTCTTTAAATTCTTGTCGAAGATCATTAGGATTTATATCAAGTGTATCTTTAATCAACATTTGTTTATCATCAATATTATTCATAACATTAAGTTCAGTAAGATAATTACGTCGAAACATTTCATAATGTTTTTGAATATGTTGTTTCAATTAGATTTTTGATATTTTTTAAACATCGCAATGATTTTCATTCTCAACTAGAAAATAAAGAATATCGAAATTATAAAACTTTCTATAATATGAAAGAGAAATCTATCATCTACTTAAATAGATAGATATGATTGGGACAATGCGTGAACACAGTACTGATAATTTTTTTCTTAATACTACTATTTGTTGTTATGAAAAAAGATGTTCAACTAAATAGAGCTCCTCGGATCTAAAACTTTTTCTCTGGACCTGATAGTCGTTTCGAACGTGCAAAATACATCTGCCGATTATTGATATACAGCATTTAGCATGTCCTACATATTTTCCTGGCAATCATATAGCGATCGTGTAAGAATCAAGTTCTAATTGATGTTGGCTTTCAGAGTAATATCTGTCAAATCAGTTTCAGTCAACAGTAAATCTCCAAATCCACACTTCGGATCAGTATTTTATCCTGCAGAGTGGCGTCTCCTCCAAATATTGAGAGTATTGTACTATGTCATCGTGCTTTCAAAAATAGGCAGGCTCTAGATCTTTAAAAAAATTCATCTTACCTAAGACAACACGAAATAATCACTGTTATCATCATTGTCTAGCTCATACATATTGATTCCCAACTATAAGTGCTTCATTACTGTCAACAGCAGTTGGTGAGTCATCATTAGTTGAAAAACTATTCATTTTCACACTCAATTGTATTAAGTTCATGAGAAATATTTTGTTTAAAACATTGCAATTTACTTTTAGATATTGTGTCAGATATATCGATAATTGATACAATATTAAATTTACTACCTAAATGTTTCATTGTAATTAAATCAATTATTATTAATTAATGACCTGTTGGACCAATAAAATAGAAACAAACATGAATACGTATAGCACAATAATTTTTAATTTCTTTACTTTTAAGTTCTTTATCTAAATTTGATTGAACTCGTGTAAAAATAAACTTAATTTTGAGGGAATTTCACATTCAAATGAATCATAATTATTTTAGCGTGAAAGTACATGTGAAAAATCAAGTGTTGACGGTGTTGAGTCTAATCATATATTTAAATAAACTATATTGAAAACAAAACCGTCCAATATTGTTTTAATTATGATTTGATTTGGTCAATTATTAATACCACATTCTTCTTTTAGTTCAAATGTATGAATTAATGAAGTCAAAATTTAACAGTCAAATAAATGAAATAATAAATGAAAATCGTTCAATTTGTGTACCTGATATTTTAATATGGGAGGATCAGAACGCATTAGTACGCCTTTCATTATTTTTTGTTTGGTATTTACGTTAAAGTTTTCACAAAGACTTATTTCATACTACAAATGCAATGCAAAGAAACATCGGTATTTGACATTTCGTAAGAGTAACAAAAAAGAACGAATTAGAGAACAGTACATTTTACTTCATACTGGATGTGAGTGCGCGGGTGTGGGTTTGGATCCTTTTTTTAGTCAGGCCACACTTACACCACACACCCACAGACTCTTTACGAGCATCAGGGGAGATAGTCTCCTTAGTGAAATTTTTAGACATGATCTAGAAAGGAAGAAGCAATGTTTGAAAACGGTGCAATAACAAAAAATCACTTATTATGAGGTTTTTGCGCAGAAACAAGGAATATCATTGGTCGTTCTTTCTCTTCATCCAGCGAAGGGTTTTCGATGATCTGTTGTGAAGTGGGACCCCATTCTTCAACATGTGTGATAATAAACCCTTGCTCAAGAAGCAAGTTGAGGTAAGTTCCAATCAGGCGATGTTGCTTAACAACGCTTTCACCAAACCAATTGGTTACACGACGTCCTTCTGCCTGATAACTGTTCACTGGCCATGATTTTTGCCCGTCTTTGTCAATTAGCCAATCAGGATGTTTTGGAGCAGTATAAATCGGATGTTCTGCAGAAAAGACAACATGGCCACCCGGCTTTAACGAAAGATAAATCGTTTTCAGTAGTGCAGATAAGTTTTCAATGTAATGCAATGTGAGTGAGCTGTAGGCCAAATCGTATGTGTCTTCGGGGAGTTTGAGCAGTTCTAAGTCCTGCAGACGATAAACAATGGCGCTATCCGATGTCATCTCCCTAGCTTTGTTTAGCATTCTTTCAGAAATATCAAGACCGAGTACGTCTTTTGCTCCCTTTTGGCGTGCATCGCGGCAGAACCAGCCGTACCCACAACCGATATCGACAATGCTAAGTCCCTGCATTTTAGGCAGCATCCTGACAATTGAAGGCCATTCCGGTGCGCCGTTAAGTCCATGGAGTGAACGGTTAAGCTGGGCATAGCCCTCAAAAAAGTGCTCATTATCATAAATATTTTGTGCCATTTACGCTCTCCAGAAAACGTATTCAGCAACAGCTAAAATAGAAACAAGCAGATCAATTCCATGTTTTAGCTATTTCATATACACAGAAGTGTTTTGCTTTTTGACGGGCGAGCTGGCGATAGCACAAGCAATGACTGGCTATAGTATACTCTATTGAAGTCAGGATGAGATGTTCAGGTCAAGAGCGGAACTTGAGCTGCCTAGAGCGACGTAGAGTGCTTTCAGCCAGCTTCATTCTTTAGGAGCACTAGAGCAATATGTATTGAGAAAAGCAGATCATCCACAGAAGAGGACGTAGAGGAAGGGGCAAGAGGCTCTCCTCAGAGATTGGTCGCTGACGCAAAAGGGCGGCTCAGAGCAGAAAGATGGATTTAAGGATTGAAAGGATAGAAGTCGATGGGCTGGATATATGTGCTGAACTTTCTGTTATTAGATAAAGAAGAAAGCTGCTACTGCTACATCTACCACTTGTAGGCGTCGTTGTAGTGAAATTGTGGTTTGGAACACGGAGAAAAGCGAGAGGCGAATTTTTCTCTGGAGATACGAAGGATTCATGCAATTGCAGACGGAGGCAGTAACAAACTGGCTTGAGAGGTGAAAGTTAGATGGATTTTGACGTTGTAAGAAACGTAGTTCGGAGGCAGCGTGGAATATGAAAGTGTTCTCAGGAGAAGTTGTAAAAAAGAGTGAAGAGGATCGCAGCACTTGTGTGTGATTGCGAAAACGATTTGAGGGATACTTAAGCATGTGCACTGTTAAAGATAGTAGTAGTAGGTCTCAGAAAGCTTGGAAGTGCTGAGTGAACAGATGCACCGAAGAAGTTTGAGTGGCCATCGAAGGCTGTTCTTCCAATGTGGCAGGCAGCACAATAGAGCGGAAGAAGAAAAAGAGGGCTGATGTACAAAGAAGTATGAGATATGCACCTGTGGTTCAGGAGTGAAAAAGCGTGCTATGAATGGAGTAGGAACTGGAAGCAGAAACTGGATTGAGGCTCGGAACGGTAGGTCTCGAAGGGTTAACAGGGAGCGAGCGAAGAATCAGTGGAGAAAGATATGATGTGTGGTGTTTGTGTTGAGATTCTCTCAGATGAACGTTTACTAATTCATGACTTTGAGCGGGAATTGCAACTGCAAGACGAGCGTACGCTCTGCTCACAGGTTACTGTGTGCGAAAGGCAGAGGAGGACGTGAGAACCGTTATAAGTCATGTTTAACTGCCTTTTTAGAGGATAGTAGCAAGCGTACTATAAACGTAGAGTGTACTTGCGAATGCGGCTTACAGAAGAAAGTGGAGTTGGAAAGAATTTTGAACAGGACGTAATGAGTTGGAGAGAGCTTTATTGGTACCTGCAGCATTGATGTTTTTAGTAAGCTACTACAGCACTCCAAACTGTTATAGTAGATGGAAAAGTATACAAGCCTATGTCTTACGACTCGACGTTTATTCGGCTTTAAGCTACTTTTATGTGTATACATCTCCAAATACATCTATTTCATATGTAATTTGTGCCTATATACGAGAGAAGTGCATCAGAACAGATAAAGCATGAGAATGATATTACGACACAAAGAGAATGAGCCTCAAGTATGCATAGATAAGCGTAAGAGTAGCGCGATGATTTGGACTAATATCAAGTATATAACAACGCACAGTAAAAGAAAAGATATCACATAAAAACGATATGTCATCGGCACACAGAGGACGATTGATGCTTTGAAATGTGGGTGTGGGTGTTTTTCTCATTCTCATACTCACCCATACACCACACCCACACCCACCCTTAATAGAAAAGCGAATATGTTTGGCCATATATATTGCTGCAATGTGTGGGTACTAGTTCACTTTAGACATAAGCGAGAAGAGGAAAGAAAATATATTCGTCGAAATATGTGACCAACGAAAAGAGTGAAACGAAAAAAAGAAATGAAATGATCGAAAATACAGTATAACCTCTCTATAGTGGACACCCAAGGGACTTTTTCAAAGTGTCCACTATACAGAGGTGTCCACTTAAGAGAGGTTTTCGATTTCTTTCGCTTCAAAGTGATCACTATCGTTACTATAGTAGATTCCACTCCTTTCTCAAGTTCGTTCGCATGGAGGTATGTGTTCAGATAAACTTCTCTTATAATTTATTGAAATCTATTTAATTTTATTAATTCTTGTTGAATAGGTGAATGTGTGTTCAATTTAGTAATTTGCTGTCCTTTTATATTATCATCTGGCCTGTTCTTTTTTTGCCTAGTCTATTCTCTTTTTACCTTGTCTGTTTCGTTTCTGCCTAGTCTATTTTCTTTCCATTGCCTTTGTATTGCAGTGTACGTCGCGTATTGATTTCATTAGCGCCTTGTCACATGCACAATTCTGTCTAGACAAAGATAAGGCGACGAACTTGACAGACTGTCCACTATGAAGAGGTTATTCACTGCAATGGGACTAGATAAAAGTGTCCACAGTCCAGAATATGGAGGTGTCCATATTCGGGAGGTTCATTTCCAGCAAAAAAGGCTCGGTGGGACCGAGAGGTGTCCACAATAGGGAGATGTCCACTTTAGAGAGGTGTCCACTAACAGAGGTTTTACTGTATATATAGAGATGGCTACGATAGATGACGGTGATATATTGGAATATCAAACAGGGTACAGTTGGGTGATTTGCTCTTATAACAGCAGAATGAGATTTATTATGTTATGCATACAGGTAAAACAAGTATTTATATTTTTTTCTCATCATTGTGACAAATTATTAGAATTTTTATTCTTTTCTTTTAATTATTCCCCACCCTCTCCTCGTAAAATTAGTACACGTAATTTAAGAACACTCAAGTTTCAGATATAGTTTGTCAATTTTTTTCCTTCCATCGCTTGCCACTGTCATCTATCGTAGCCATCTATATAATTTCGATCGTTTCATTTCTTTTTTTCGTTTCACTCTTTTCGTTGATCACATTTTTCGACGAATATATTTTCTTTCCTGTTCTCACTTATGTCTAAAGTGAGTGAACTAGTACCGCTCATTCATTTATTAAGAAAATAGACCAAGATTGAGTAGATAGTAGCATTACATTGATATGAGTCTTGAAAAGAACGAAGTCAATGTTGAAGAGACAAAACTACCGACTAATGCATCAAATTATATTACGGTGTAGATTCTGTATAGAGAGCGATTACTGAACTTTTGCGAACAGGGAATAGTTTTTCAATTTTTGAACAATGTCATTTCTTTTTATAACTTTTTGCCATTGTTGAAAAGTAAGATGATCTAACTTCTATTCAAATATTGTTCCTTCATCTATATAGTATGTCATACGCATCGATTAGTAAAAATGTCTTCAAAACTAAGAGAAAGATGCACTTAACGACATAGTACTGTTTTATTGATGTAAAAATCGAAATTTCAAAGATTCATACAAAACAATCAAGAGCACATGAATACATGTTGATATATTTAATAATTCAATTCAAAAAAAACCATGAAACATGTAGAAAAATCATCTGTTTTTACTGAAACACGTTTAATCTAGATCTAGGAACTACATAGATATGCTTGACGGAGTTCGTCGATGACATCCGTACCCGGGTTACCAGGTCTTCCGAAATGGCAGAAAAAATTCCGAAATTTGACATGTTTCCGAATGGTTTCCAACGTTCCGAATTCTTGCGAATTTTAAGTTTTTTTCCAAAATGTAATATTTTTCTAGATTCGAGCTTTTATGAGTTTTATTATAAGTTCTAATTTAATTTTTACAGGCAATTAATGCATCATCGGTGTTCTATTGTAATGATTAAATAGCACAGAGTTTTAAGATCACTAAAAGTACACGCTCTCATGAATCTAAAGCCTTTCCAAACTGAACGAGACATCTTGTATAGTGAAAAAAACTATTTGAATAACCTATTTCTTCAACGTGAACTAAATTCTAAATTTCAGAAGACGCGCTTTTCCACATGATAATTCTCACATGTTAAACTGAATTAGATTCAGCTATGAATGATGAATTTCAGGGTTCGAATGTTAATATAAATGAGATTAAAGAAAAGAAAAAAAACTATAACAGTAGCAGCTTTCACATAAGGGTGTGAGTGTTGCTTTTGTCTCTACACATATCCACCCACACCCACACCCCAGATATTCAGCTAAGATATTCCAAAATTTCGAAAGAAATACCAAGTGTATGTGTGTTTCCTTGGCATCTACATGGAGAGAGATGCGGTGTGTATCTTCGGATATGCTTGTATGTATACGCTTATTATATTCGTACTTCTTGAGGTTAAAGAAAACGAATGGATGGAAAAAGACAGAAAGGAAAATGTCGAAAACGAGAATATGAGGTGAACATGAACATGCATGATTGAAGGTATGGGTAGCGAGATTTGTACTTCAATATACTCTCGGTTTTAGCATTTCTATTCATCTACATTTGTATTATTTTTGTTTTTCGATATTTTTCTTTTCTACTTTTTTCCATCATACCAAAAAAACTGATGATACCAATGAAGATAGGAATTTGTCGATGTAGTCAGTTCTCAGTTTTATAGACAATTTCTCTTCGGATTTTTTTCAATTATGAATATGTTATATAGTTGGTTATGCTCGCAAATCGTTTTATATATTGATCTGAAGTGATTATTGTGGAATAATTTCATTGAGATAATGCAATGAATTTTTTATTTTTGAATATCATACTTACAAGTTCATTGAGATACTTTCATTTCATGACGAAAAATAAAGAGAAAACTAAAATATATTATTGAATAAAATAATATAAGCAAGTATTGAAAGTGGTGTCATTTCAAAGAAACCATGGACGAAATTTTCCAAAAGGAAAAGATATCTTACGTTTTGGAAATAAGCAATATTTCATAGGTATAGAATTTATTTTGAACAATACATTTTTTAAAGGTATTTATGAATTATGCATACAGAGCAAGCATTCTTCATGTATGAATTCACCATACATATGTAAGTTCTGTTTCATTTTATGATGCTGGTGGTCATGTCTGTCCACATGGTATGTACATTTGCTTCTTCACTGTTACTTAATTTATTTTAATCTCACTTCCAACATCCCGTTCGCTTTTGATGAAGTAAAGATCATCGTTAGAGAGGATATCAATGGTGATATCAAATCAAATCTAAGACAGATTGTAATATCTTTTTAAAGTTCAGTATATAAAGTTGAACACGTCTAGATGCAATTTAACTTCGGACTGCGTCTAATCGTATTCAGATATATTTTTGTTTTAAAAAGTGTATCTATTGAAACACTTCTTGTGCTTACACTTGTGGATATGGCGAAAAGAAGATCCATCCACACTTGCATCTGTAGCCACACCCCAAGATTGATTCTGGTTTGTTTGTAAAACATTCGAAAATTGTATTGATCACAGTGAGAACAAGTTGTGCTGATTGACGAAAAGTTCGAATTCGATCACAATCAATTCTATAAAAGTATTTTGATATTTTCTGAATAAACTTGACTTAAATTCGATTGAATATCTTCACAAAGACAAACTAAAGTAAAACTCAATTCTTCAATTAATTTTTCTTGTTCACGACAATCTGCTAATGTCTTAAGAACATTTCTCAAATTTATTTGATTAGAAAGACAAATGAAAGAAAAGAAGATTTTCTTTATTGTCGAGCTACTCGTTTTTTTTCATTAGAAATTGTTGATTGAGTTTTGTTCATTTCTCATTAAATTGATCAATTTCTTGTTGTAAATTCAATCAATTGAAGTTTATTCATCTAAATAATTTTCTCTGCTTTTTTCATTTTGAGGGTGAGGATGGATGTGAGTGGGCATTAGAATTATGCCATATCGACATGCACACTTAGCGAATCACACCATCTAGATATGGTTAACAATGAAGACGATTCTGAGTATTTGTCATAGTAAAAGGCCACGAAATTAATGAGAAGAGAGAAGCAACGAAGTGTTTTCTCAAGATCACGAAGAAATAACTCGAGCACACTATTAGATGTTCCATTGAGATAGATTGTAGCGCCCGATGGCAAAAGATAGATTAAGTAACCTAGGATAATATGAGATCGGAGACTTTATTTGTCTTGTTATAATTATCAAAGTTTTAAAGTGTTGCAGTGTTATTATGTAAAAGTTCGATTGGTTTTCATTGGGAACCGTTGAAACAATTTGTTGTTTCGTTTCTGAAGGACCTTCATCTTTTCTGACTCATCTCTACTCATTGAGAAATTTCGAAATTACAATCATCTATATGCATTCGTCTTATATAGTCTGCATTTTCTGTTTCAAAGAGCAGTTGTTTGATATACGATACTGATCGAATTTTTCCTCTTCGACGTATGTTGAACGGGATATCAATGATGTTGATTCATGGTCGAGTTTTGATTGGTTATCGAGTGATTATGTACTTGGTTCTTTGTAGATCAATTGCGTTTCAAATACATTATCTTTTTATCTTCATTTATGAGCGACAGTCAAACGAAAACCAAAGCAAACGACTGCAAAACCACATCTCCTTTGGAGTATGTATTGTTTCTTGCATGAATGCTAAGGCAAAGAACACTAATTGCATATTTTTACCTGACTTGCTATCAGAAAAAGAGAGTATTTGTGTATGCTATGCTTGAGAATTTTCTGAGAACAAAGAAATCGCAAAAACGATTTTTGTTGGACAGAAACTGCCAGAAAAACCGACTGATGCAACTAATAACTGCTAAGTTATTATAGTCACCTCACGAGTAGGTTGATTTTCGAAAGACTCATGTATTGAATCGTTGATATTTGTTTTTAGTAATGACACTCACCAGAGTTCGAGCACAGACGTTCTTTCGCGGGAACGTAATGAGATCAAACCATATTTGCCGCGAGACGAAACCACCCTAAGTCGCTTGACAGAAGTGGTCGAGAATTTCGATCAGATGAACTTACGAGAACCACTTTTACGTGGTATCTACGGTTATGGTCTCGAACGTCCTGCAAATGTTCAACAACATGCTCTTAAACCGTGTATTTCGGGTTCGTTTTCTGTCATTTCTCTAGAACTGAAATTTGTTCCATAAATATTCATTCTTCTTAAAGGTTACGATGTGATCGCGCAAGCACAAGCAGGTACAGGCAAAACTATAACTTTCATCATTGCAGTTTTACAACAACTCAACGTGGACTGCAAAGACTGTCAAGCATTAATTCTGGTACCAACGCGTGAACTGGCTCAAGAAGTATAGTTTTCTCTGACATATAATCTTTGTTTCTCATCAACTTCTTGATTCGATTTGTAATTTAGATCCATAGAGTAGTTTTAGCACTAGGTGAACATATGCATGTGACATGTCATGCTTGTGTTGGTGGTGTGAATTCTCGTGAGGATATGAAACAGCTTGAAGCGGGTGTCCAAGTTGTTGTTGGTACACCTGGTCGGACCTATGATATGTTAAACAGATCGGCACTTCGTACGTAATTTATGTCTTATATGTGTCGCATTTTTATTTTCATTCACGTTGTAGGCAGTGAAAATATCAAAATGTTCGTATTGGATGAAGCTGATGAACTTTTATCTCGTGGTTTCAAGGAGCAAATTTATGATGTATTTACGGCGCTGCCAGAAAATGTTCAAGTCATTGTTGTATCGGCTACGATGCCCTGCGATTTACTCGAAATCACAGCTAAATTTATGAATGATCCTGTGAAAGTTCTTATCAAGAGAGAAGAACGAACGCTCGATGGTATTCGTCAATTTTACGTGAATATCGAACGTGAGGTAGATAGACATACTTGTCATTCTATGATGATGAACTAATGCAGAATTGTTTTTATCCAGGAGTGGAAATTAGATACATTATATGAATTGTTCGATACATTAACAATCACACAAACTGTCATTTTTTGTAACACATGTCGCAAGATCGATTGGTTAACTGAAAAACTACGTGCACGTAATTTAACTGTGTCTGCTCTGGTCAGTTTCACGATGATAATTTTGAACGAACCATTTGTAAAATCATACATTGGGATTCGAATTGATTTTATTTTTATTGTAGCATCTTAATATGGATGCAAAACAACGTAATGATGCCATAAAAGAATTTCGAACGGGCTCCAGTCGAATCTTGGTAAGAGCAGATACGCTTGAAGGTGATACTGATATTCCACAAGTTAGCCTTGTTATCAATTATGATCTACCGACTAATCGTGAGAGCTATATTCATCGGTAAGAATCAAATAATTTCGAAAAGAAATGAATTTTGTTCTTTTGGTTAAGTATTGGACGTAGTGGTGCATTCGGTCGAAAAGGTGTGGCTATCAATTTCACTACCAATGATGAACGACAAACATTACACCACATTGAACAATATTATAATACACAAATCGAAGAACTGCCTATGGACTTTGCTGATTTGATTTAAAAGCGAGACTTCTGTTCTTGCTCTTTGTATCGATACAAACATCACCGCGTAGTTATCATCTTTTGATCTTCTATCTATTCTGATGATATGAAAAATCAACTCCTAGCTAACTTCCATTAGATTCTTTTTTTATGCTTACTTTTTGATTTAGATCTGAAATAAAGATGACTAACACTAGAATACGTCATTAAAGTCAAGAAATCGTTTAGTTAACAATCATTTTCGTTTTGTTTGTTTATCAAGTCATCTTTTTTATGGTTTTTGCTACGTTTCGGGCGTGGGTGTTAGAGAAAAGAACATATCCACCCACCCACACTCTATCGCTCGAATGCATCTCCTAATTTTACTGTTTTTTGTCTATTTCGAAGATTTCTCCATGCTTCCGATGCTCGTTTTCGTTAATGATTGTAAAGATGCTGCTCATTCATTCCAGGACTTACACCTATAATAAATACAGTTACATCCACACCCGTAACGAGTGATATATAATAAATCCTATAGTTTTGTCGAATGCAAAATAAAAGAATTTTCTTCAAAAAATTCACGACGAGTGAAATTAAATAACAAGATGTTCATGAACTATAAAAGAAACTAAAATTACGATTCAAATTTGTCGAATATTAATAGATGGTAGTGGAACGAATTCGATCATAGTAAAATTGATTTATTCATTTGACTTGAATGATAAACAAATATTCGCTAGCATCACGACTATATTAGGTTCTCTTAGTCAACAACTATTTGTTCATTCTGTCAAAATAGAAAGATGAATTTTCATACAATTAAATCATATGTCACAGCAGTCATTCATAAGTGTTTGATGTAAATATGCTTACAACAGTGAATATCATCTGGAAAACAGAAAAAAAAAGTTCGACTATGTTAGAGAGATGTTACACTACGATTTTTACAACTACAAACATGCGTAACTATCAGGATATAAAAATAATTTATTAATGGACTGAAATCATCGTCGTTCAACTACTTTAAGCATTTCGATTTCTCAATTCTGCCATGGACAGACTTATTGTCATTCATCTGCAAAGTCCACGAGACTTTAATCTTTAAGAAATATTTAAACATAATACTGATTTTATCTTTCAACATTATCAATCATTTATCGATCAAATTCATGCTATTTATCTCTTACTCTGCGGTCAGCGTCGATACCACTGTAGAAGTTTACAAGATATACCTTTGTTTTATTTACGCTATTCATTTATGTGTAATATAGTTCTTCAAGACACGTTTTATACAAGCTCATGTATCCGTGTCCATAGACCCAATATAATGAAATATTTTACGAGAAATAAATATTGTCGAAAGTGTGTGCATACAATTTTAACCAAGAGAATTGAAAGAAACTCTAAAAGGCAAGTTTCAATAAAAACTGCTCATAATTGAATACAAAATGGACCCAAATATTTACAAAATCGTAAGTCAAGTTTTGATCACCGAAAACTTTCGAGCATTATTTTTATATTATTTCTTTGTCTACGCACGTTTTTCACACTAAATAGTAAATTGATGCTGATAACTATAAGAATTTGGTACTCTGGGTGAATTCATTTCCTAAAACGTATCTGTAATTATAGAACGAGTAATTCAGAATGTATTTTTTGTTGTTGTTGTCAGCCTGTGCAGTTATTTGTACGTGTTCAAGAAAAGAACTAGGTCCATTCACAATTTACAAATCTAGTTTGATATGCCACAGAAAAAGCTTATAAAACAAAAGACACATTAGTTTCGATATCTCGAAACGGATACCTCGTTTGATTTATTTTTGTAAATGAGGTTGAGAAATTTCAATCGACTCGAAAAATTGATGATCCTGGTACATTGAGCAACGTGAAACAACGTATGATATGTATTATTGATGATGAATGACAAAAAAAAAATACTTTTTCTTGTTATGAATAATTTATAGGTTACTGTTTTACCTATTCTGTATGATTTTCGAAAATTTCCTTCGATGTTTATGTATGAGAAAAAGTGCTAAGTGAAAATAATCAGCACAATTACACTGTTGAAAATTATATAATATATTAAACGGTATGTATGTGGTGTTTCGCCGACAAAAACCTCTGCTTGGTATTGGAAAAGTACTTGTGATCGATTTTCGCTACAATCGAATAATAACATGAAATACATTATCGTCCAATCGTCTTGAAACATCTTTCAAACACTTCAAAAATTCTAATTGATATGCCACTTTATTCGATATTAAATATAAGACATAAGTAATTACTTTTGTCGAAAAGATCTTGAAATTCAAAATCATGTATAATTTTGCATCTGATTTTACAGCCGATATAGCTATAAAATTGTAGAGACGTCATATTGTTACGATTGAACTTTGAATAGAGTATCACTGACAAGAAATATCGACGCAAAATACGTTTGACTTATTATCGATTATTGTAAATAAATTTTAACTATTAATGTTATTGAGATATACTTATAAATTATTTAAACTTCACTTTTGATCAGTTACGCTATGTGAATGTGAGGTAATGAACGCACTGCCTTGCTTTACTTTTAAAAGATATCATTTTCATACACAGTCGCAATTGATTAAGAGATATATGTCTATAATAATTATTTTTATCATAAATGGGATACAAATAATTTTTTATAGTGAAAATAAATCTCTGTTGAATTTTCTATGTTGGATACGACAAATTGACACTGTACAAAAACAACTAATGATAAAGCTCTCAGAAATTTAATACTATTGATTCGAAAATAACTTAATATAAGAAACGGCATGCTTTGGTTACAGTTTTTAAACATTTGTATTTGTTAGTGTTAGCATAAATGATGACAAAATTACTCTTAAAAGATGGATAGCCTTCAAATTATCTGTAAGCAAATGTAGCTTTTTATATCGCATGAAAATTATTAATCCAATTACAATTGTTACTAAAATCGTTATTTTTATGCATCAGCTGAGGATATTATCTATATTGCTCATTATTTGTTTAGTAACTATTGATTAGCATACACACATACATATTACGAGCGAAAGAAATTTTGTAAGGAGAACTTTCATCAAAATAAATATATTTATCGAACTAATTTTGTTTTTCAGGAAAACATGTTTTATTTAATTATTTTGAATTATCTAGGGCAGTTCATAAAATTATCTCAAAGAAATTTATACAATGGAATTATGTAGAAGTCTTGAATCAAGTTTTTCAAAGTTCTCGACATCGATGTGCATTTTGTTACCATCAGATGATATATTAATTTCAAGGACATTTTATATAGTATTTATAGAAACCTTGAATAGTACAATCATGGCATTATATATTGACCGAAAAGATCCAATCAACTAAATATAATTCATGAGCGTCAAAATGGAAATAAAATGATAAATATGGAATTTATTAGAATAATACAAATTACTCTAGCATTCAAGTTAATGAGTTAGATTTTGATTTCTCATCTAGTTTGTCTATTAGTTAAATCTCTATCATCATTCTTTTGCAGATACTAAGTTAAGTAAATAAACGTAATAATTGAAAATTATCACAAATCTAGTGATAAAGTTAGTTGAACTTTGAAATATTTTAATATGTGAGTATTCTGATGAATTTCTTTAACCATCTTCAATTGTCGAGTTGATAATGACCGTTTGAAATATGAATGATTAATTCGTTTTACAACGTGGAAAATATTTTCAAGTCAGTGATTATTCTTACTATATGAGTTAGCTGATAGCTTTTTCAATAATGTATATAGTCACGAAATTCTAACATGTTAACAGAGTTGAAAAAACAATTTATCAAAGTTATGAGATTATTAGCTGTGAAATAATATTTAGTTTTCTACTATTTTCAACAAGATTTTTTGAATATTTTGATCAATTTCATATTGTTTTTAGATGACAAATTATTCGGGACTTTAATAGTTGACGTCTAAACGAATACTTTTTATTACGATTTACGGACATTTTCTACTTTTCGCGTGGTATTATGAAATTTGATGAAATAATCTTTGACAGATTTTCGAAAGAGAATAAAAGAGAATTTGAATATATGATAAAATGAAAATAGGAGTATTGGATTTTGCTCGTATTAGTGGCAATCATGTATAGCATTCAGTATAATTTCGAAATTCTATAGAAATGACGACAAAATCAATCGTTGCCAGATATTTTATTTTTCGAATTCTTTCAGAACTCGAACAATTGGATCAGCAGTTAGCTCTAAAAGTGATAAGTAAAAAGATAGATTACCTCATTTCTAAGTTAATACTAAGCGAAAAGTTATTACACAAGGGCTCAATATCACATAAAAAACTATTTTTATGAATTTTGATAAACAGCACTAAATGCATCACACACATAGAATTTGCCTAATAGCAGCATATTCTGATGAACAGGCATAAATTTGTTGTTAAAACATTGCAATAAAATAAAACATCGGTTTGATACTTTTCAATTCACATATGCTATTTTGTTATGAAATGCTTTTCAAAACTCATAGCTACTTGAGAATGTGTTTCTCTGAGACTACAATGAGTTTTAACATATCTGATTCTTATTCGAAAATCATTTTGACGATAATTATAAATATGTTGCTTTGTAATGTATTAACAAAAAGACTTTTGAAGACCTTACATAAGACTATCTGAAAAACAAGTTCTCTGAAAACCACTTCTTATTTGAATGCTGAAATGAAATTATTGTTATGTTTTAATTAATGGACGTTTGCAAGAATTTCGATTAGAAAAAATCACGTCATCACACAGCTGAATGTTCATTACCATCTATCAACTCTTTCATCTAGAAGGCAAAACAAATTGATTTCTTGTAAAAATTTTAGAAACTTATTTTCAGTTCATTTTTCGTATCTTTTCTATATATATTTACACTCAACAAACCAAAATCGATCCCAAAATACTAAGAGATGATAGTGTAAGTGAAAAAAAGACGAACATTTAGATTTAGACATACACAGTTTAAACTGTTTTTTTGTACTTGATCGATCATTTTT